AATATAAACAAAACCGAGTTGAACGTCCTTCAAGGACAGCACATCCACACTTTGCTAATGTGATAACCCCTTTACTGTTTAACTCTTTTAACTGAATTAAGGAACTAGAGGAAACCAAGACAACATTTTTTAGCTGTTGATTTGTAAAATTAGGAAGATTTAGTCATTTGAGAGACATATCTCAATAATCAGTATGTCCCTTATGAAAATTATATGGTTTTACTCAGTGTTCGAACTATACCGTGGACTTTGGGGGAGCCCACTTGTTGTTGTTTTTTAATAACGGAGGGGGGGGGTGTTCGTGCGCTTGCGCTCTACGAATCTTTGAGTTAACATGTACTAAACATGAGTGGAATTTGCACCGCAGCGCCCCCACACCTTGATGCTCATGACAAGAATAGCATGTATAGTTATCTTTATTGAAGTGAATTAGGTTTAAATCGCCTTCATGCATGAATGAATGATATTTTTTGCAATTTTACACATAATAATCCACGATGATCACATTACACAAAACTGAAATTGCACGTCAAAATAACACATTGTCAATATTTTTTGAGACCCCCCACAATTTCACAAATCACGTTTTCAGGGGAGCCCATGTCTTATTAAGGGGAGCCGAGCTCCCCCTAGCTCCCTCGTAGTTCGCACCCTGGTTTTACTACAAATAAAACCAAAGAATCATGGTTATTTTAGTTAAACCATGGTAACCACAAATTAGCCATGGGTTTGCTACACTTACGGTATTTGTAGTAAAACTGTGGTTATACAAATGGAAATCAATCTGGAAAAAAAACATGGTTACTACACTTCTACTATAATAAAACCATAGCTACTTTTTTTTGCAATGTTTGGGTATGTTAGCCTTGCTAATGCTGTGGAACTAAAAATGTATTTGTCTGAAGATTCTACAACATCAACCAGCAAACATTTGAGTTTCCATATCTCCATGTGGCAAATACTAGCATTAGCAGGTCAATATGGCTGTAAATGTGAAAGGTATGAGGATATAAGACTTCAGTCAGTAGTTAGATGCTAAAACAACCCCTTATTTCATAGGTCTTCAGCCCTGCTCCTGTGGACCCACTGTCCTGCAAAGTTTATTTCCAACCTGCTTCAGCACACCCGGCTTTTGACTTTTCAAGTGATCCTGAAGACCTTGATTCGCTGGTTCAGGTGAGTTTGATTAGGCTTGGAGCTGAACTCTGCAGGAAAGTGGGTCCCCAGGCGCAGGGTTGAAGACCTATGCCTTATTTCATTGTTTCTATACATACTATACAGTTCCTAATAGACCCTTCTGGCCACGAGGCACATTTTTAAAGTACTGTTTAATGTAGTTATCCTAAAAAAATAGTTCTTCTTCTTCTTCTGGTGTTTGTGAAAGGACCGTTGCCATCAAACTTCCTATTCATCATTATTGGACACTTGAAAGTCTTTCCTGCTTAGTTTTTTATATATATATTTTTTCCCCTCTTGCTGTCTAAACTAACACAAACCATTAAATGAAACTAACACCTTCAATATTTTACAGTCCACATAAGGGGTCCTAAGGAGTTTTTATTCTGAACATGATATATTCTTCTGTATGTACATATGATTGCACTGTTGACAGAACAGCTTTGCTTTATATTTTTACGAAATGTCAAGAGTATTTATTTAGCTAGAGATATTTTGGTGCTATTTTGGATGGAAATGAAAAACATGTTCCCTTTTAAAAAGAAGTGATTATTTTTGTCTGATTTTGTGGTTAGAAATGAAATTCACTGTGTTTGGGGAAATTTTAATGTCTTGAGTACTGTACTGTTACGTTAAATGTCTAATAAATTGTGATATTTGTATAACACGCGATAATACCTTGGTAAAAAGAATATGAACTCACCCAACTGAGACACCTAACAAATCTGCATGGAGTTTCACATCACTACATCATTTATTGTTTTTACACTTTTTTTATACAATATTCTTGAGTTTTAGGAGACAGGTACACTCACTAGTGGTACAGTGGTGGAAATTCATATATCACTATTTCTAGGGTTTGAACCTTCAGTTTTTTGGCTAGAATACACTGGTAATTGAATGCCCCTTCAGCACTTTCCATTAAATCGGTAACACTTCACAATAAGGTTCATTAGTTAACTACTTC